GTTATATACATGTAATTCTCCTTTCTCTTCACAGGAGTTTGGTGACAGCGACCAGCACTTCTGCTTATTTTGCCTGACCACTGACGCCATTCGAGAAAAACTAAGAGCCTTTCTGCGCATGCGCTAGAATGTATGAGAAGCTAAGGCTATGCAAGAAGTTATCTCTTTATAACTTCTTGGGCTATGCTTTCTTGGTGATAGAAAGCAGACAATATATGTGCCTCAAACGTATCATAATATACAACTTTAACGGCAAAAGATGCACTACTATGTACATATGGGCCACCTTCACTGTACATGCATTGGAACATGTAACAGACAGACACGTAACAGGTTAATTTGCCGGCTTTTTATTTTGCCTTTTATTGAAAAAAAGGGCACCCACAATACTAAAAGTCAAACATCGTCTGTGGTACCTTTCTCGCACACCTGGCGACAGTTACAATTAGCAAAGTGATCTACAAAAATACCACTTGTTACCCATAAAAGCATAGATTCTCTTTAAACTCAATGGTTATACCCACGCTGCTTTTTACAGCTTAGGTACACTATCTCTGTGAACTCGTCTCATCTAATGCGCCTCGCCTGACTTATGCTTTCACATGTACATAAATCAGACAATCCTTTTTGTTTAACTTGTATTTTATGTTTAAATTCTATTAAATAAATTTGGATTCTAGTAAATGAACCCCCAGAGAAGCACTGCAAAAAAGCCAACATGGAATTTTGTATTATTATTGAATGAACAGTACACGTTCTGGCAATGACACTTTATTTGTATCAGGGCACATATCTATATATCTCAAACATATTTCTGTTAGTAAAAGTGTGTCGTGACCGTAGAATTCACTTATATTACTTTTTGAACAATTCAATATTTTTTAATTCAATATATATATATATACCTGTATATATATATATATATATATATATATATATATATATATATATATATATATATATATATATAGTGCTGATTAGAGGAGAAACTAAAGGGCAAAGATACACTTACAATCTTAAATTGGCGAGTTGCACTCAGAATAAAAAACTATCATGCATTGAAGGTAAAGTTCGATTTCAGTTAAACAAAACTCAGAAATGCATAAATCTAAAGTCCTTTTTAATATATCGTTTCCAGGCTCCTATTTGTATGTGTAACAAAAAAGTATCACTAATTTGTGGTTTGATCATTGTTGAGAAGCTTGCGGTACAGATAAAATAAGAAAACAGTTTCCTCTCATTCAATCTGCCATGAACAGGTTAAGTATGCCAGAAAACATATTGGCACATACAGGCAGAAAAGCTCCTCGTCTGTGAATTCTGAAATAACGAGAAATAAAGAAGCTGACAAAAATTGCAATGAAATTAATAACGATGAAGAAAAGAGCTAACTGAGCAATTTTAGAATACGCTGAGGCACGTGTAGTGGTATTACATCATACCGGTACATTGTAAACCCATGGTATATTCAATGATAGTTGAACTAAACATCATGAATTGCGTTTTACTTTAGAAGGCCTGCTTTACAAACGTTATCATGAACCATAATTGAGTGAGTAAGAGCATGGTCTTTTCTTATTATCTTTACAAAATCACAACTCAAAACGCCCTGGTTTGTTTTTAAAAGAATTTTATTTGCAAGGTACGGTTTTTCACGTAAGCCATGGCAGATGTCCAGAAACGGCGCTACTTCGTGACGCGGACTCACTGAAAAGTTTCAAATAACCGCCAATTGCCATCTGACTGCAAATGGACGTTACTATAGCTACAACGATTTCTTTAAATATTCAGCGACCATTAGCACGATTGTTTTTTTTTTTTTTTTTTTTTTTTTTTGTTTTTTTTTTTTTTTTGTCATTTATATTCAGTAAAGACTGATCCGTTAATGGTCATACATTTTAATGAATCTAACAGACTGTCATCTGTATACATAATGCTATAAGACGGATAATCATATTTCTTGTACACGGCATGGGATTTTTTTCCGTCTTAAGGAGATATTCATTAATACCCCTGCAAAAAAAAAAAACGTAAGAGAGTTTTGCAATATTCGAATTATGCGTTGTAATAACTATGTTGTTGGCTGCTGCTGTGTTCATGTGAGTACTGCTACAGAAATTCCCAAGTTCTGTCTTATACTCTGCACGAGGTAAAGAATGAAACGACCCCATGTTGTAACTTTTACAGAATAAAGTTTGCTAAACTAAAAGTTACACGGTACAAGCATGGTCAAATCCAAACTTCAGTCCAGTCCTCTCTCTCTTGCTAGTCTCGACAGTTCAATAGTTTCCGCAATCCCTTCTTAGGATTTTAGTTCACAGATTTATATGCTTAACTTTATCAATTAAATTGTCAATCGTCATTTGTCAATAACTTAGAACTGATTGATTACTCAGACACAAGCCCCCCCCCCCCTCCCTCATGGTGGGCAACCCAAAAAAACTTTTTTATACATCTTAGCTTCCTGTGTGAGAATTTTAAAATTGTCAATCGTCATTTGTCAATAACTTAGAACTGATTGATTACTCAGACACAAGCCCCCCCCTCCCTCATGGTGGGCAACCCAAAAAAACTTTTTATACATCTTAGCTTCCTGTGTGAGAATTTTATCAAACAAAGGCTTCCACTAACTGAATTAATACTACATCATGTATGAAAGTTTTAAAAGCACTAAATACATTATTTCAGTACTGTGGTCCCTGACAATGAACGCGACAGAAGACAAAAATAGGCTGTCGAGCAGAAGTTCATAAAAATGTTAGACACTTTTTAAAAAGTATTAAATAGCGACAATGGCTATGCCAACGAATATTATTCTTGTTTTAATGTTACATAATCTTTAACTTCGCGTCCCTTTTACGTGTAGCATACGTCACGTATCTCAGTAGTTTGCTTGTTTATTCTTGTTTTGGTACCTGAAGAAGGTTCACAAGCCCAAAGCTCAGGCATTTTTTTCATTCATGGTTAACCTCTATAGATGCGTTATCAATGTAATTTAAGGGCGTATTCCCATAGATTTTAGATCGATCTATCCCCGTGGGGAGTCTCACTAGATTACTGTCAGATAATCCGGCTTAAATGTCCGTCCCGCCTATTACAAGCTGTAAGGGAGTAATTAACTTTCGTGCCCGCTCGGCTGACAGCTATTTAGCGTGAACCCCCAGGGAGTTAGGTCGATCTAGTTTGGATCGATCTAATCTCTGGGAATGGGCTCTAAGTCTCCTTGACATGCCAGTCAAAAGAATAGAACAAACTCAAGTATAATGTGCGAAATTTGGCCGATGACATCCGCGTTTATTGAAAGTCCCATTAATAAAAAGAAGTGAAGCAGATTAGTGATAAAGATTGAATGTTCTTTGTGTAGATTAATAATAATAATAATAAGCACATGTAAAAGGCTATGTCTCATATTATTTAACTTGCCATTATAGCATCAAAATGCTATAACGTACATATCTTATTTAAACTTCAGATTTTACAAATGACCTAACTATGGCATACAGTTATCCGGTATGTATAATCACAGGCCGGAGCCAGGGAAGTTCGGGGTCTCGAAAGAATCCCCCTTTTCGCTGGGAAAAGGTGGCTTCTGGGCAAAATGTCATCTAGGCATAGGGGGGTTTCGGCACTTTTGTAGTATACCCCCCCCCCCCCCCCCGAACCTGTAACTTTCACTTTTCAAACAGTTTTTAACAGTTTTTTTACATTTTCTTGTTCATGTATGTCAAAGCTCTTTAAATAAAATGCTTTTGTAATTACCTGTGGTCTTTTTCGAGTTTTCATCACGTTTAATGCAGCCCATTGAAAAACAATGTGAAAATCTACCATGCATCTTGCAGTCAATAACGTACCGCGTTTTCATTGGCTAACTCTAAGACCCCATTTCCATAGATTGTAAATCGATCTATCCCTGTGGGGAGTCTCACTAGATTACTGTCAGCTTAGCCGGCTTAAGCGTCTGTCCCGCCTACTAAAAGCTGTAAAGGGGTAATTAACTATGGTGCGCGCTCGGCTGACTGCAATTTAGCGTGAACCCCCCGGGAGTTAGGTCGATCGAAATCTTAATCTCTGGTTCGATCTAAATCTCTGGGAATACACCCTTAGGCTACATGACTTGCCTGAGTTTTGATCTTATCATCCCTATCATGTGACAATGATTTCATGTGAACACGAAGTTACAGGGTGGTGGTATACTACAAAAGTACCGAGGTTTCATGGTAAAAGGTCAACTTTTCCCATATTTCAGACCCCCCCTTTTGAAATTACTGGTTACGGGCCTGCAATCATTTGTTACATCTGTTAATTACAGTGACAAATTGATGAAAAAATTCTTCAGTGCTAATCTTATTATTAAATACAGCCATATTTTTTATTTTGTAGTGTATGTTGACACAACGAGGCTGGATAACTACAGAATTCCTTTTACTGGCACATGACAACACAACCTTCGTTACAATGCTTAACCAGTGCTGTCGTCTGGTGATTGTCTTAAAGAACTACAAGTAAAAGATTAAGTCGTGAGTCTTGCTGATTATTTGGTGAAGATTATGGGTGAATTTTATATATCGTATTGTGTTATATTGCCACAAAAGTGAAATTCGAATTTCGCTAGACCTATTAGAAATTGCACAACTTGACTATAGCTGTCAGCATGGTTTTCTGCTTCGTTTTTGTTTGTAGTCACCGATATAACATGCACAGATAATATTATAGTAATTTATTAAGATTGCAACCCAGAGGGCTGAAGTTGTACATAGAATGCTAAGAACATTGTAATAACAATAAAATGAAATTTCACAGTTGCGCAATTATGTCGCAAAATTCGCGCGGTATATATGAAAATAAGGCTCTGGTGGCCTATTCAATTCTGGAATTGGTAAGCGTTTGCCTGTCACTGTATGTAAGTCTTTTCTTTCAACATAGAATTGTTCATATATAACTTGTCAAACTGTCGCTCGGTTTCATTTCTCCTAGGAAATTGCAGCTTTTGAAAGGGGGGGTTGAGTCATGATTTCTGATACACTGTTGGCGAGTGTCAATCTAAAATTACTTTGAACAAGTAAAAGAACTCAAATCAACAAGGACACGCAGAGTAACAATGGCCAAACTCCCCAAGTACAAAAAACGGTTTATCCAAGAAACCAACGTCTCCCACCAGTTCCAGTCGGTAGGCGCAGTGCGTTTGCACCAATCTCTTTCGCATGTGCAGCGGTCTTCACATTTGACGAAGCATGTGGAACAGTAGCATCCGTGGTTTGGGATCATTTCATATAGGCAGCAAATATAGCAACACTGACAAAATACAACTTCACCCGTCTTTCTTATTGTTACCATGCGATAGCAACCGCTATTCTCTATTTTATAGTATGGTTTTCTACAGCAGGGGTTGCAATTAAACCAAATCCCAGCATCAGTCTCTAGGCTTCGAACAAATACGGAGAAAAAATCGGTGACTGCTGATGATTTTGCCAACTTAGTCAGCAGTTTAATTGTGTCGACTCCATCCGGTTCCCCACTGCAGAAGCAATGAAATACTAACGGTAAAATTCCTTGCGGTATTTTCGAAAGGAACAGTGTCAATATCTCAAAGGGTTTTTTCAGCCTGAATTTGCCGAATATCCCTTTAACGTCCATGCTATTAGACCTGATTTGACGTATGTCTATGACAGTATCGTTTATAAAGTGCAAAAGTTGCAAGCAGGCAAGAACGGAGGCCAGTATTGTTAGGCCGAGCCACGCGTCTTCGGAACTTTTGCATTCATCACTCTTCGGCTCCACATAGAAACTCCAGTCTGCGTATAAATCCCAGACTGTAAAACCAATAGATAGGATACGAACAAACACGTCCCAACAGAGCCTCTTTTTCGTCTTGGGCTTTCTCTCACTCTTTTTCTTCTCTTTCTTCTGTCGCAAATGTTCGGCATTGAACCTATGTATGTTTGCATACCATTTTCTTGTCCCAGGTTTTCCTTCTATGACCGGCTTGTCTGCTGATGGGGGTTCGGTTATGACGTCACTCTGCCCAGTGTTTCTCATTTCAATATCTTGTTCTCTTCCAAAATGCCCATGGTTGTCAGATTCAAGCCCGTTATTGTCCCATCCATATACCCCGGGAATTTGCCTTCGAGCTGCCTAAAACAAAAAAAAAAGAGAGTAAAATGAACCAATGGATGTTATAGGGAAATATGAACCTGCCCTTAATAAGGGTGAAATTAAGTAGGGCAAACCATGTGTTGTTAACTCTCTGTTGCAGCACATTAGCGCGTGAAGCTCTATTTGTTTTGCTCCCCGAGGGAATTTACTGGTTTTTATGTATAGTTTTTCGTGAAATATCAAAATAATTAAATTTGTAAACAATGCTGTGCCAAAACATCTATAATGGTTCAAAGAAAAAGGCTGGAAAATGTAGCATTGGATCTCTTTAACTATAGGGACGTGAATAACATCCAAAATGTGATCTCCTTGCAAGAGAATGTAAAGTCAATAGATTTTTGGACACTTAGCACTAGCAAAATGTAAGCCTCAATGATTTTGTATTTCTAAACAAATCAAAATGTTCTAATATGGAAACACGCTTTTCACTGGAATAAAGCATTGCAGAAAAACATTTCCCTAAAGCGAAAGGATATATAAAACTAGATAACCAAACGGGTGACGTCATAATTGCGATTTTGGGGTAACAACTGAAAAATCGGTTTCTCAAATTTCTACTTTACACCAACATCCGCGATCACCGTTTCAACGCCTATTTTATTACACCATTTACTACTCCAAAACCTGCCAGTGATTTTTCTTAGACGTCTTAGTTAAGATTTTAACGTTAATAAAGCAAAATAATGCCTTTGTTTCATGAAAATCTGTAATTAGGGGCTCAAAACACCATTATAGTAACATTTAAACAAAAATGACGACACTAGATTGTAAACCCTACACACTCGGTAAACTCTGCCATTTTTCGTGATAAAATCTTGGTCGATGATAAAGAAATTCCCCATACCGATTGCTATCTCACCTCAAAATAGAAAGGTGTTGAATAGACGATTAAAGTTTTGGGTTGCCCATGTGCCTATGTACATTGCAAAGAGAAATATAAACGCCGATAATTTTAATTTTCGAAGGTTTTTTCATTGTTTTAGATCAGCACAAAGATCGAGGCATTATTAAATGATTAAATGCAGGAAAACCTCATTTTCGATATCTGGATGATGATAAAGGATTACAATACCCTTAAGTCTCCAGGAGTTGAAATAAGTTACTGTAAACACCTGGGTTAAAAAGACGGCAAACTTACCGACATGTCTCTGTGCTTTGAGTGAACTTATACAACCAACCAATCGGGGTGCCCTGGCTTTTGTAAATTGTTCTGAAAAATTGTGACTCCTTTATTGTTGTTTGAAGTGATGCGCGCATGTGCGAATTCGTGGAAAGTTTATTTAAAGAAAAGTGTCATTTTACCGAGCCGACACTGTAAATACGGGTCTATTTTTCAGGCAAAACAGATAGGTTTGTTGCACCAATACCGCGTCAATAGCCTTTTAATAGTACGGTTTGAACATCATCCATAGAAATAATAAAAAGAGTCAAACCGTTGTTTGGCATTTCATCCTATGTAACATATATAACTTGACGCAGTTGGCTTACTGTAAATGTGAACCAAAGATAGGGGTCATGGCGTGGCGGATGTGCATCTTCACCCGGTAAAAAAATAAGAAAGAAAAAAGAACATGGTACATCAAACCTGCAACATTTTTTAAAAACAAGAGCAGTAACATCCTTTATCTTGCATATATTCCCGAAGACAAAAAAGTAACACCACTGCCCCATGAGGACGCCGTATTCAACAATAGTGAGGTAGCAACAGCATGTTATTCTGTTGAAGCACTTTCCAACACAGCAAGGACATCACATACAACTATATCAGTAGGCCTACAACCAACCAATCGGGGTGCCCTGGCTTTTGTAAATTGTTCTGAAGAATTGTGACCCCTTTATTATTGTTTGAAGTGATGCGCGCATGTGCGAATTCGTGGAAAGTTTATTTAAAGAAGAGTGTCATTTTACCGAGCCGACAATGTAAATACGGGTCTACAGGTATTTTTCAGACAAAACAGATAGGTTTGTTGCTCACAGCACCAATACCGCGTCAATAGCCTTTTAATAGTACGGTTTGAACATCATCCATGGAAATAATAAAAAGAGTCAAACCGTTGTTGGGCATTACATCCTATGTAACATATATAACTTGACGCAGTTGGCTTACTGTAAATGTGAACCAAAGATAGGGGTCATGGCGTGGCGGATGTGCATCTTCACCCGGTAAAAAAATAAGAAAGAAAAAAGAACATGGTACATCAAACCTGCAACATTTTTTAAAAACAAGAGCAGTAACATCCTTTATCTTGCATATATTCCCGAAGACAAAAAAGTAACACCACTGCCCCATGAGGACGCCGTATTCAACAATAGTGAGGTAGCAACAGCATGTTATTCTGTTGAAGCACTTTCCAACACAGCAAGGACAACACATACAACTATATCAGTACAACCAACCAATCGGAGGTGCCCTGGCTTTTGTAAATTGCTCTGGAGAATTGTGACTTCTTTATTGTTGTATGAAGTGATCCGCGCATGTGCGAATTCGTGGAAAGTTTATCTTAAGAAAAGTGTCATTTTACCGAGCCGACATTGTGAATACGGGTCTATATTTTCAAACAAAACAGTTAGGTTTGTTGCTCACGGCACCAATACCACGTCAATAACCTTTTAATAGTAAGGTCTTAACATCACCCATAGAAATAATGGAAAATGACAGACTAATGTTTGGTATTCCATCCAATGTGACACAGTTTTCTTAGTAGGTCCTATTTATTACTTAAAACACACTTTCAGCGTCCTTTATAGCCACTATATCATTTACTTAAAAGTTTCTTTCTGGGCCATTTGAACACACACAATCACTGCGTATCTGGGTGATATATTTTTGTAGTCAGTATCCATGCACCTATAACTAGCTAATGTCGTAAAAAAAATTTAATGTCTGATGTTAAATGTCTTATTTCGATTTTTAACTAAAAGAATTAAATTTCGTAAGTCAAAATTCGATATCAGATAAGTCTCTAGGAATATTGCAGTATAACTCTCACTGCACCATTAGCGCTGTACATGTGACTCCAGAAGTGTCGCGACGATTCCGAAACGCCCAGTCTGGACCCTCCTTAGCACTCCTATTGACGGTTCTGATATGTAACGGCTGTTAGCACCGCCAGTACATATCTTATTTTGATTATACTATAGCATAATTTTTGGGTTCATGCACTGTATTAAACAAAGCTAGATTATTCGAACGAAGTGTGTGGTTTTACAAATGTAGCCTATTATTTTATACAATAAAACATCAGTTTTCATTTTAAATGGCAGGCCTGAATTGGGAGCGTTGGCAACGGGGAAGAGCAGTGTTGTATCCAAGCCCACAGCTGTTGATTATGCTGGTTTGCACATTCCGTACTTTATTATAATTTTGACCCGATTTGTTTCTTTGATGATAATTTAGCTAGGACAAACAGTGAACCGTTCAACAACTTCAAGCATTGGATTTGGCTACTCTCCCTCCCTTCTCCCCTGTGTGTGTGTGGGGGGGGGGGGGTATGCCGTTTTCACGTATTCTTGCCATGTATTGACAATATCACTAAAAAATTGTTGTAACTGGTTTTTAGTCTTATTGGCTTCAAACTTTTTATTTTTCATTTTTTATTATATAAGTTCTGAAAAGTAAAGATAAAGTCATCCACTAATCTCTAGCGCGATGTTTCCTCCGTAAAGACTGCTATCTGTACAATTTTTTGATCAATTCCATATTCTTACTTTGTAAATAGGATAGTATTATGGTCATAATTATGAAAGAAAAGATAAGCCTCGATATTATATATGTTTTTAGGATAGAGTTTGACATCTAACTTTAGACAGTATACCCTCTTGGGCCTTCACTATAAACAATTTTATTTTAAACCATCCCGATGACAATACATTTTTATATTGATAATGTTATATACCGTACAAAAATATAGGTTAAGGCTTACCACAATTGGAATTAGCTCTCCATGTAATCACGTTTGATTGCCAATAACAAAATTGTCTTACAATGAACTTCTGACCATTTACAGATTACGAAAATTGCATCTAAAAGTGGATTATATTATAGCAGTGTAGAAATACTTAGAAAAAGTACTTTGAATTCTCTCAGTAGAAACGTGTGCTTCAAACAAATCATTAATTGATAAACGGTATTGGACTGATATAAAAAAATTCAACTAAACTGTCTTTCTATTTGAAGGAGGACAGCACACTGGAAAGCGCAGCAGGCATATTGAAGGAATGGAAAAATCCTAATAAGGAAAAAATGGGTGACAGATAAAAATAAATATAATATCTATATCAAAACAAATATTTAATTCAAATATTAGTGCAAATCTTTAGGCATGCAGTGTTAGATAAATTTCATATCTGGTTTGTATATCAAACACAACTGGTTTTTACTACGAGTCTTTGAGTAGGAAAACGAACTAGGTAATAAAAATCAAATTCCACATAATGTCGTTTTTGTTACAATAACAACATTAGGGGAGACCGGGGCTAGTTGGACCCCGGGGTAAGTTGTCCCCCCATCAAGTCTCTTTAATAAAGTTACCTTAAGATGCTAAATTATTTCATTTGGACTGAATGCCGACGCTTTCTTAGCACTATTGGATACGGTCACTTTACAAAATGATGTGATCAATTCTTTTACCCCATAGTTACTTTGTCATAAATTGATGGGGGGGGGGGGCAACTTACCCCGGGGTCCAACTAGCCCCGGTCTCCCCTAAAGTGAAAGTTACGAAGGCTATGTCCCATGTACGTCACACACACTGATTGCCGGAGAGGTGACGTATGCTGCCATAAGAAGAGGAACTTCTGCGCACGTGGGACCTTCTAGCTCCCTTCATCTTTATCCAAAATTTTATGTAAATGAATTCTTTGGCATCAAGCCACATTGCTTTTAATTCTTCCCTGTATGGGCGGGCACTCAAGCAGTAAAGAAAGAAATTCGAGGCATGATTCATGTAAAATAATAGTATGAAAATTGTGTAAACCATAGAAAACTTTGCTCTCTCGTAATCGGTAGTAGACCCATATATTTTGATAATATCAGCCTGAATCAGGTTGAATCCCGTTGTCATGATCCAGTACGCCACTGTAACGGAGATGAGCATTCTAGTGACGCTCTTCTGTTCTTCGACTTGCCAGTCTCTTAATAAACCGGAGTCTGGGATTGGTATAGTGGACTCCTGTACCTGCGACCCTTTCTTCTTATTATCTTTCCAGACGGCACACATAAGCCAGATGTTAATGATTGGCAAGCCGAAAAAAGGGATGATCCAATATATCACTAGAGCCACCCATTTGTATGCCGAATAGTAATCCCCGACCTCGCCTAAAAAGCAAATTATAAACATTTTGTGTATAGCCTATCATTGTCCTAAAAAATAACAAGTCTTGTAAATTATTGTGCATCGTTTTAAGCTCAACCACAAATCTTACTGATATACTGGCTAATGTACATGTTGTACATGGATGAATATTTCGCTGTAGCTAGCTTACCTGAATTTTCATTGTGTATTTTCAGGAGGTCTGGGGAATCGTGGTAGATATTCCAGCATATCTGCCGCCCACACTCTTCGAAATAAATATCAAATGAAGGGATAGGGATGTTCAAAATGATGAGGAAAACCGCGATCACAAAGATGTAAATCCGAGTCTTCCTAATTGAAAAAAACACCTCGTGTTTTGGCGTGTTAATATGCCTGAGGAGTCTCTCCCCGCTCATCAACATTATCATACACGCACTCATTTCAGGTGCGAAATACACCGTGAATACAGTCAGACCACAGAGCCCTCTACTGGCTGTCATCGCTGGATGAAGGAGCTCGTACTCGACCCAGTAGAAGATGCCGTTGATCAAGGTACAGCAGTCAGCGACAGCCAAAGCTATCATGATATTACAAGTGGCCACTCTGCGTAATTCCCGCCTCAACAGGACGCACATACAAAGCACGTTGAAGAACAAACCCACACAGTATATCATCGGCCGCCCTATAACACGCATATAGTCTGCAGCAGCGACCAACGTGTTGTTGGGGAGATAGTCGATGCGAAGGCGAGCGGTCGTGGCGGCTTGGTTGAACAGAATTTCTCCGCACTTGTTGGCGTGAGAGCCGTTTCCTATAGGATACCACCGAGAATTCCCCATCTTGTACTCTGGGTCACCGTTGTCTTCTATAAAGACGGACATTTCTCCTTCTGGGTCCAGTAAAGCATTGGCGGCCAGCGACCAAGACAGCATCTGGTTTATTATTATTATTGTCACAAGCAAGCTTTCCATTGTTGATGAACCACTGATATCACAGCTGGGCTTAAAAATAAAAACAATAGAATTATAAAGATGGTAATGCTCGTGATAAAAAATTATTTGTATAACAATTCTGATAAGTATAAAACATAGGCTACAGTATATAAATAACGGTAGTGATAAATATTTCAATGATAGTGACTTATATTCACTTAAAGAACAATGAGAAATTATCAATAATTTATCTGAAATTTAGGCACTGGTGATGTATATCAATTTTTTATTAAGAACAACACTAACAGTACTATAAAATTGCCATATAAATATTTTAGAGGCCTCTCTATAAAGTTAGCCTTTCTTTTTTTCAGGTGACCAGTAGTATCTTCATTATTCTCCAGTCAACATTTTGACGAGTTCCACAGATTTTACAAAGAACATGCTTCATGTTTATCAAACATGTTTATCAAACTTTATTGGCATTTACATGTATGATGGTGCAGTGCTAATATCATTATTATTGACGAGGTCAGGTAAATCACCTGATGCTCTCATTGCTATTATTGATCAACAACGCAAGGGGAGGGGGGTGATTTTATAGGAGGACCTCTCTAAAAAGTTAGCCTTTTCCTTTCTCCCAGACGATGAAACGTCCTTCAGTCAGCAAAATCACGTTTTACAAATAACATGCATTGTTAGGCCTCCACCACCGCCACTACCAAAATTATTTCTCGGTCAATGCGGTACTGACACCGTTATTTATCTCTAGTTGCCACCTTCACAGGTGACTTCAGTTATACGTGCCCCGGAAACCAATGATGTAAGTAAAAATAGAACAAGTATGATAGTAATACATAGCGTGATGTTTCTTACCTGTTGTAAAGTAAACTAACAAGAAATTTGTAGCGAATGTGAAAGTACCTATTTCCCCGCTTTAGACATTAAATGCTGTTGGTATTTGGTTATAACACTGGGTAATGATGACAAAGATATACGTGTGCAATGATAATATATGAAATTGAAGCCTACTATTGTCAGTTTTACCTTATTTCCATCGTCCCAATCATGACCTGTAATCATTTTCAAATGCTTTCGTTCACACACACACGGTTTTTGTTATTTCCGGATTTTAAGACTTGGCTAGAGCTACACCCCTCCCTTCCTCTGCAACCCCAGAATATAACCGTTAATTGAGGGGTATAAGAAATTACACAGTGGAGTTTGCGGTCATGCTCTTCCTTGCCTTCCCCCTTATATTGGAACTAAAAGATTTTCATCAATGCACTTGTGAACGTGGTCATGGTATCAAACTGTTAACTAACTGACCAACAAATATACACCCTCGACTATAGCCGATTCCGTGAAAAAATGAGCGCTTAAAACTCATACATTATCGTTGCTTGATACAGAAAAGATTATACAACTACTGTATATTCCTTACCTGTAAAATGCTTCATCAAACAGAAAGAGGAAGATAACGCATATCAACTTGTAAGTGCCTTATCCGCGTGACCTTGTACTAGCATATGAGACTACTTCCGCGTATATGGGCTTACAAACGTGTTTTTATCAATCTTTTCAAACATTATTTTTCTGTGTCGGTTGCAAGTGTGAAAATGAAGTCTCATATAAGACCACAAAACTTTTTTTTTTACAAATTCACACAACTATATGGCTACCGTACATAGTGAAATCTTTAAACGTGATCTTCCGAAGCAGATATTTAAAATTTTGACCTGATTCAGAATACATTTCCTAAAACCATTTACCGGGAATGATAATTTAACTCATTTGACTCCGTCTTAATAATTATCTGCAATTAGTGAAAATGTAAGTCATTTACTTTACAACGTCAATTTATACGGCTACAAGTTGCCTTAAAAATTTCCCTATAAACTTCTGCGAAGAGGATATGTGGTGGCCAACAAGATTTTTAACTCTGAACTTTTTTAAACTTCTGCATGTTTTGACTGTTATGCTTATTACTTTTTCTCTCGGGTTTCTCCTTAATATTCGCTTCTATATATATATATATATAGAGAGAGAGAGAGAGAGAGAGTATTCTTATTAAATTTATCCTTGACGAACACAAATAAATAAAAATGCTGTAAATTTTAATGTTTTGCCGATATCCTTTTTCACTCAGTTTTTTTTTTTTTTTTTTTTTTTTTTTTTTTTTTTTTTTACCTATATATCATAATTATAACCGAATGTCACGTGCGATTTTCACCCAAAAGCCGTGACGTCTGCAGTGCATCTCTGAGGCGCGTTTACCACGTATTCTTCACTCGTGGAATGATTGTGTTAGTGCAGAAAATTTCTTTCTCACCAGATGACAACTAAAGGCAGAGTATATTGCAAACATTTAAAGAAAAAACTTCAACTAGCCCACAATTCCAGATTCATCGTGTAGAACTTAATAGATGCCACGGTCCCTCTATTTTTCATCTGACTCTCCCTAAAATTTTTCAGACCGCGTTAACTGTTCAGCTCCCCCCCCCCCAATTCGCGCCTCTCTCTCTCTCTCTCTGTAGTGTATGTGTAGGGGAGGGTGTATGCCGTTTTCACACATAGTCCTGCCATGCATTGACAAGGTACCGATATTATTTTAAAAAATAATTGTAACGCGTAAGTCAAAATCACGAGTGTCTATTTTCTATATACAAGTTCATTTGCTTTAAGCTGTATTTGTTGTTCAGATTCCATTTTTGATTAAAAATTATTCAACCTTCATTTTTTTCATTTTTTTCTTGTATAATTCTGAAAAGTAATTTGTTCATGATTCTCTAAATTAGTGACAATACCGCTAACAAAAATTTCTTAATTAAGCCCGTTCTCTAGCGCGATGTTTCCTACGTAAGGACTCCTACACACACTGGACAAAAGAAGTGTCACCCCTACTGAGCCAATACTATGGGGGAGATAAATGACTGTGGAATGATATGCTCCTAGTATCATTTTATTAACATCAAATTTCACAAAAAATCACAAAATGAGAACAAAATATACATTCTACCAAAATATGCAGTTTCAAGTCAAAAATAAGTACTTAGTGGCATAGCCACGTGACCTAATAATAGGTGCCAGTCTACGAAGCAAGGATTCATATAACTGTCTGATGCGTTTAGGGCTTATGCTGGCCCAAGCATGAAACACTGAATATAACAGATGGGCATTTGTAAAAAGTNATTTAATTCAAATATTAGAGCAAATCATTAGGCATGCAGTGTTAGATATATTTTATATCTGGTTAGTATATCAAACACAATTGGTTTTTACTACGAGTCATTAAATAGGAAAACGAACTAGGTAATAAAAAGCAAATTCCACACAATGTCGTTTTTGTTACTATAACAGCATGAAAGGTGAAAGTTACGAAGGCTATGTACCATGTACGTCACACATCCTGATTGGCGGCGAGGTGAGGCATGCTGCCATAAGAAGAGGTACTTCTGCGCACGTGGGACCTTCTAGCTTCCTTCATCTTTATCCAAATTTTTATGTAAATTAATTCTTTGGCATCAAGCCACATTGCTTTTAATTCTTCCCTGTATGGGCGGGCACTCAAGCAGTAAAGAAAGAAATTCGAGGCATGATTCATGTAAAATAATAGTATGAAAATTGTGTAAATCATAGAAAACTTTGCTCTCTCGTAATCGGTAGTAGACCCATATATTTTGATAATATCAGCCTGAATCAGGTTGAATCCCGTTGTCATGATCCAGTATGCCACTGTAACGGAAATGAGCATTCTAGTGACGCTCTTCTGTTCTTCGAATTGCCAGTCTCTATATAAACCGGAGTCTGGTGTTGGTATGGTGGACTCCTGTACTTGCGACCCTTTCTTCTTATCTTTCCAGATGGCACACACTAACATGGTGTTAATGATTGGCAAGCCGAAAAAAGGAATGATCCAATATATCACTAGAGCCACCCATTTGTATGCCGAATAGTAATCCCCGACCTCGCCTAAAAAGCAAATTATAAACATTCTGTGTATAGCCTATCATTGTCCTAAAAAATAACAAGTCTTGTAAATTATTGTGCATCGTTTTAAGCTCAACCACAAATCTTACTGATATACTGGCTAATGTACATGTTGTACATGGATGAATATTTCACTGTAGCTAGCTTACCTGAATTTTCATTGTGTATTTTCAGGAGGTCTGGGGAATCGTGGTAGATATTCCAGCATATCTGCCGCCCACACTCATAGAAATAAATATCAAATGAAGGGATAGGGATATTCAAAATCAGGAGGAAAACCGCGATCACAAAGATGTAAATCCGAGTCTTCCTAATTGAAAAAAACACCTCGTGTTTTGGCGTGTTAATATGCCTGAGGAGTCTCTCCCCGCTCATCAACATTATCATACACGCACTCATTTCAGGTGCGAAATACACCGTTAATACAGTCAGACCACAGAGTCCTCTACTGGCTGTCATCGCTGGATGAAGGAGCTCGTACTCGACCCAGTAGAAGATGCCGTTGATCAAGGTACAGCAGTCAGCGACAGCCAAAGCTATCATGATATTACAAGTGGCCACTCTGCGTAATTCCCGCCTAAACAGGACGCACATACAAAGCACGTTGAAGAACAAACCCACACAGTATATCATCGGCCGCCCTATAACACGCATATAGTCTGCAGCAGCGACCAACGTGTTGTTGGGGAGATAGTCGATGCGAAGGCGAGCGGTCGTGGCGGCTTGGTTGAACAGAATTTCTCCGCACTTGTTGGCGTGAGAGCCGTTTCCTATAGGATACCACCGAGAATTCCCCATCTTGTACTCTGGGTCACCGTTGTCTTCTATAAAGACGGACATTTCTCCTTCTGGGTCCGGGAAAACATTGGCGGCGAGCGACCAAGACAGCATCTGGTTTAATATCAATGTCAGAAGCACCCTTTCCATTGTTGATGAAGCATTGATTTCACAGCTGGGCTTCAAACTAAAAAAAAATAAAATCATAATGATGATAATAGCCGTGATAAAAAAAATGCCAATATAACAATTCTGATAAGTATAAAACATAGGCTACAGGTATATAAACAACGGCAGTGATAAATATTACAATGATATTTAGGGCCGACGCAGTGACTTCCCATAGATTTAGATCGATCCATCTAGATCGACCTAACTCCTTGGGGGTTCACGCTAAATTGCTGTTAGGCGAGCGCGCAAGGTAGTTAATTTCCCCCTTACAGCTTTTAGTAGGCGGGACAGACGCTTTAGCCGGCTAAGTTGACAGTAATCTAGTGAGACTCCCCACAGGGATAGATCGATGTAAAATCTGTGGGAATGGGGTCTTAGGGCGCATGGGGTCTTACTGCTAGAGGTACTGGATAGCTGATCCAGCAAATTTAAGGGGGGGGGGATATTAGAAACAAACAACAGAAAACAGAAAATCCAGAATACATGAAGTTGCACGACTCAGGTAAGTCTCTTAAACCCCATTTCCATAGATTTTAGATCGATCTATCCCTGTGGGGAGTCTCACTAGATTACTGTCAATTAACCCGGCTTAAATGTCCGTCCCGCCTACTACAAGCTGTAAGGGGGTAATTAACTCGTGTGCCCGCTCTGCTGACAGCTATTTAGCTTGAACCCCCGGGGATTTAGGTCGATCTAGTTGGATCGATCTAATCTCTGGGAATGGGGTCTAATATTCACTTAAATAACAATGAGAAATTATCAATAATTTATCCGAAATGCAGGCACTGGTGATGTATATCAATTTGAAATTAAGAACAGCATTAACAGTACTGTAAAATTGACATATAAATATTTTAGAGGCCTCTCTAAAAAGTTAGCCTTTCTTTTCTCCCAAACGACCAAAAGTATCTTAACTATTCTCGAGTCAACATTTTGACGAGTTCCACAGATTATAAAAATAACATGCTTTATGTTTATCAAATTTTATTGGCATTTATGAGGGTGCAGTGCTAGTATTATTATTGACGAGGTCAGGCAAATCACCTGATGCTCTCATTGCGATTGTTGATCAACAACGCAGGGGGAGGTGATATTATAGGAGGGCCTCTATAAAAGGTTTATCTTTTCCTTTTCTCAGACGATTAAAAGTCCATCAGTCAGCAAAACCACATATTTTACAAATAACTATGGAGACATGTATATTATATATAGGCCTTCAACTGTTGCCCCCCCCCCCCCCCCCCCCCCCCCCCCCTCCACCACCGCCACTACCAAAATTATTTCTCGGCCAATGCGGCACTGATACCGTTTATTATCTCAAGGTGCCAGCTTCATAGGTGACTTCAGTTATAGGTCTACGTGCCCCGGAAGCCAATGATGTAAGTAAAAGTAGAACAAGTATGAGTAATACATAACGTGATGTTTTTGTCTGCTGTAAGGTAAACTAAGAAGAAATTTGTAGCGAATGTGAAAGTACTCGTTTCCCCGCTTTAGACATTAAATGCTGTTGGTATTTGGTTATAACGTTGGGTAATGATGGCAAAGATATACATGTACGTGTGCAATGATAATATATGAAAAGGAAGCCTATTATTGTCGATTTTACCTTATTTCCATCGTCCCAATCATGACCCGTAATCGTTTTCAAATGCGTTCCTTCACACACACGATTTTTCTTATTTCCGGATTTAAGACTTGGCTAGAGCTACACCCCCCTTCCTCTGTAATCCCTAAATATAACCGTTAATTGAAGGGTATACGAGATTACACAGTGAAGTTTGCGGTCATGCTCTTCCTTGCCTTCCCCCTTATATTGGAACTAAAAGATTTTTATCAATGCACTTGTGAACGCGGTCATGGTATCAAACTGTTAACTAACTGACCAACAAATATACAGCCTCGACTATAGCCGATTCCGTGAAAAAATGAGCGATTAAAACTCATACATTATCGTTGCTTGTTACAGATCGAAAAGCCTATACAACTATATTCCTTACCTGTAAAATGCTTCATCAAACAGAAAGAGGAAGATAAGGCATATCAACTTGTAAGTGCCTTATCCGCGGGACCTTGTACTAGCATATCTGACTATTTCCGCGTATGTAAATGGGCTTACAAACATTTTTTTATTGTTCTTTTCAAACATTATTTTTCTATGTCGGTTGCAAGTGTGAAAATGAAGTCTCATTTAAGACCACAAAGCTTTTTTTTTTACAAATCCCCACAACTATATATGGCTACCGTGAAGACACTAACATTTCTTCTCAAAATTGGCTGAATAAAAAATAAAATAAAAAAAAAACCTCAAAAGGAGATCACCTAACTCCCCTAAGAACCCTTACATGGCATATCCTATCCGTGAACTTTTGACCTACTTTCACATAGTTTTCACACTCCTACACACGCTGACTTTGTAGGGTATCAATAGAAAGGGGGCGTATTGGTGGGGGGGTGGGGGTGGGGGGTTCTAATGTGACTGTTCTTTTTTCAAGAAGATATACATGTATTTCTTTTTTTGATCGTGTTATAGCACATTTTTGGGTTCATGCACACAGCTACGAAGTCTATGGTATTATATACTTTGTATTTTATAGTACCATAAAAATTTTTTTTTTTTGATAAAAGACCTGAATTGAGACCGCTCCATTTTCTCTCTCTCTCTCTCTCTCTCTCTCTCTCTCTCTCTCTCTGTGTGTGTGTGTGTAGTGTATGTGTAGGGGAGGGTGTATGTTGTTTTCACATAGTCCTGCCATGCACTGTAACGCATCAGTCAAAATCATGAGTGTGTATTTTCTTTATTCAGTTTCGTTTGCTTGAAGCTGTATTTGTTGTTCAGTTTCCATTTTTAATTAAAAATTATTCTGCCTTCGTTCTTTTCATTACTTTTTCTTGCATAATTCTGAAAAGTATTTTTTATTTTTAGGTAACAAGTGCTTTGTTCCAGATTTGCTCATGAGAATGCCTTAATTAAACCCGTTCTCTAGCGCGATGTTTCCTACGTAAGAACTCCTATTTACGGTTTTGATATGCACTGTTTGAACTTCACGCTTCGAACGGCGACGGAAGTATGATGGTGATGATGATGAACTTGCCGAGATTTAACGTAATTTCGAATTGATAATAGACAAAGGAATCTCCAGATTTAATTTCAGTTTATTTTCCATGAAAGTTGCTTGATGTCTTATTGATTCATGTGCCAATATATGTTTACAATATCTAGTTAATGTCTGAGTAGTAGCAGGAGAAGTCCGCGCGATTCACTGGCAGCATGGACCTCATTAGGTCCATGCTGCCAGAGACTACTTGCTTGCCTTGCTTGTATCTGTACAAGCGTAGATAATTGATATAATAGAAATAATAATAATTAAAAAAAAAAACGATAGAAATAAGCTGCCTTACGTCCTTTTCGAAACTCAAAGCTCGCATCAAGCACCACTACAGCACAAACAGCCACCATTTTAAAAGGATACATACGCGACACAAGACAAAGATGATTGTCAAGCACAAGTTCATAAAAATATTAGACACTTTTAAAAACACTTTTTAGAGACAATGAATATCTCAACGAATATTAGTCTTGTTTTATTATTATGTAGGCCTAATCTTCAAGACGTTAACCTTTATCACGCACTTCTAACTTCGTGTCCCTTTTACATGCATCATACGTCACGCATCCCTGTAGTTTGCTTGTTTATTCGGTCGAATGAAAAATATGTAGTTTCATTTATCAGTCATAACAGTTAACTACCATAAAAGAGGTCTGTTATCTGATTCTGGTCCAAGGATCAACTTACTGTGAATTCAGCCAGAGACAACCGGAGTCGGAGAGAGAGAGAGAGAGAGAGAGAGTACACTCTACCTGAGTCACAGATGCAGTTTTACTAGATATTCACAGATATGAATAAAATGTAAAATGTCTTTAATAATTTTTTAAAGAAAGATTCCTGTTTATGATTTGAACGCAAAGGACGGTCGCGTTTGTTACGTTATGTAAAAGCAGTATTGACGACAGCTATCATCCGATTCCTCAAGGGGGTCGAACTCCCAACACGGTCGGAGGTACGTTGTGTAGATGAATAATAACAACATTTTGTCTCTCTCGCTCTTTCTTTGGTTAGTCTTTCGATGCACACGAAAATCACTGCATAATTAGTTAGCTCAGCACCTGTGCTAATCATATTTAAAACACGAAATTCAGACCCATCTTTAGACCTTCGTAACTGTCGCTTGCAACACCATCTCACATTTGCCTATAAGTTTATTTTCAACAAAGTAGAAAATAAGATTCTTGTTTGGAAGCATGTATAATGTCTAACGTCAGAAAATATCTAGAATGTTTATCTTAAATAACGCAATAAATAACTTGCAGCTACTTTTAAAAGCTATAAAATCCTTCTTGGCGTAGGCCTACTTTTGCTCTAGATCATTAATTATAATTGCTTTCATGTTTTGAAATATTTTAGAAATTAATTAAATCTTCATTTTAGTTAAGACAAGGACTGAAGGCCCCGTTGGGTATTTTCCTTACCCGTAACATCCACTTATCATTCCCCGAGATGTGAAGCACCCCATTCCTGTGAATCGTGAATTGCGGGTTTCTATCCCTCGTCCTTATATATAGTGGAACGAAGTCATTATACTCGATGATAGTTATTTTCAGCTCGCCGGACTCGCATTTTCAATGAGATATGAATAAAATTCTAATTAAACTTATGTAATTTGTGATTTGATGATTTTATTTTCCGCGGCCGTGAAATGTGATCACTCCCCCCCCCCTTCCCAGCGGGCCCTCATGATTAGCTAGACGATATGTTGACAGGGCACAACCAAATATTTTACACGTAACACGACAAAGCTGCACTCTGTTAGGAAGCCAATTGCAACACCTTCGTTACCAGGCATTGAGAAAAGATACTTGATACTTGGGAAAAAAATTTGGAACGTTTTAGAAAAAATTAACGCGCATCTAATATAAGCATAGTCTCTAGATAGCGCAGTCTATAAAAGTAAAGTAGGCCTACAAGTAGGCCTACTAGTAGCTTTGCAGGATATTTGGGAAAAAAATTGACTTTAGAATATTTTCAAGTAGGCTACGTTTATTTTACTTTTAATGGTAATCACTCTAAATGCGAAGGTCCTTAAATGCTCCATTTGCTTAAATTGAACGTTGTGTTAGCAGTGCTGAGAACCAGCAAAAGTTGAAGCAAAAAGAAAATACATAGGCCTAATAATAACAATACAAAATAATTTGATGACCTTTTAATAAAATAAACTAAAATGAAATGACCTTTTTGCAATAATTTATTCTTTATCAATAATCAATGATATCATATCTAAACGAAAAATCAAAAGATATAATAACTTGGACGCAGAGTAAAAATGTGGCGCTTCATCTGCCGAATGTACCGAGATGTGACCCAGTATTCACTGCGGGTTTTCTTTGACCTACTTAGTCGGGCTTAGTCAGGCCATAGAAGCTCTACTTCTATGGTCAGGCGGAGCGGGAACGTTTTACACGTTATGAAATAACGTTATACCAAGGACAAGATATATCTATGAGTTACCATTAAAGTTTTATCTAAAGCAGTAGGGCTTTCCACGATTCCAGCATCCCTTTAAATGTATGCAAACACATTCTTGATGACAAAAGGGTGAGTACTTTGTTGTAGTGATCTGGTACCGGAAGTCTTGGGATTGATAGCGACATATGCAGTTGGGCGGGGTTTTTGAGAGAGAGAGAGAGAGAGAGAGAGAAGGAGCTGCAGATACAAGAGGTAGAGAATAGACGTAGGGATCCGGTGATCCCAGTGTTATAAGTGTTATTGAGTAGCTCCGAGTTCGATCCTTGAAACATCTGAGGTAAAACATTAAAAAGTACTAGCAGAGTTATATATAATCAAGAAGCAATGAGAAGATCCGAGTGCTGACTGGTCCACGGCCTTAATATGGCAGACCTACATGAAAGGAAGACTGCTTAATCCTGTAATGGTCACTCCACCTCTCACACGCCTCCACTGGCGTCGTTCAGGCAGGGGCACATTAATCAAATCTCGACTCCATTCGACCATACAGTCGTGTGGGGATCTAGGCATGTGACCATTCAAGGGTCCATTCCCAGACTAAATGTTAATCAATTTATTTCTGAGGGATTTCTTGCTGAATTGCTTTTAGCTTAGCAGCTTAGATGTCTGGCGTGCCTACTGATAATTAATTACCCTTTAGCAGCTTCAGTAGGCGTAACAGACATCTAAGCTGCTCAAGTTGATTGCAATTTAGCAAGAATCCCCTCTGAAATACATTGATCAACAGTTACAGGTAATTTTCTGACAGGCCTCCGAATTATCTTTATTGATCCATCCTCCATGTTAGACCGTCTTCCAGTAGAAAAGATTAGTTACTCGCCAATGTAAACTTAAAAATCTGACCTTCTTCCGGAAGATCCTGGAGGACGGCCTAAATCCGCCCCTGAGTTAGTCTAGGAATGGTCCCTAATATTCTGCTGGCTCTTATGGACTGTCAATGTTCTTTTTATTAAGATAATTTATGTCACTTCATTAATATTATCTTTTGTCTCTTTTTCCAGCTCCAGTCTCCATAGAGCATGGTGTCTTCTAGGTGAACTGACTTTACCTGGCTGGACATGGGGGGATGTATTATTAATATGAAATAGGAAATAACAGCTGCAGGAATATTCCTTCATCTCATGCAACTGTGCAAGACACAGCAAGTTTCAGGATGAATGGGTTGTGAAGTGCCAAAGACAGGACAGCCATGGTAAACAGGGAACTGGACTTTTTGCAGGTTGTACACAAAATGAATGGTTGGTTTTGTTTTGACACCAATTATCACAGGTTTTTTGGATTTCATGACTTATGTGACTTGGAAAATTATGAGTTATCATAAGCATAATGAATGTTTATCTTTTTTTTTAGCTCATACACATGGTTGGACAGTTGTTGTACATGGTGAAGTGTCTCTGTAGTGGCCTGCTTGATGTGGTCAGTTTGGGACGAAATTCATTGAATCCAAAGTGGAGCAGTGGTCATTTCTTCCCTTGGATGACCCATTGTCATGACAGTAACTGGACTGCTTGCAGGTGCTACACTAAACTAATGGTGGATATTGTTTTACAAGTCATGTAACAATATGTAATTGGTCTCCTAATCTTCCACTGTAGAGAAAGAAACCAATTATGATATTTTTGTTTCCTTTTTAGTTAAAGTAATTCTGTCTTGAATTAAATTTTTTATTAGTAATTTCCTTTGTGACTCCTCTCAAATTACTCCTCAGAAAATGTCTTTTAAGTAGCCAAAGCCAATTGATATGATTATCCCAGATGTTTACAGTTGCATATCAAGCATGGTGATACAAAAATGAAATTGTGCATCTTACAAAAGCATCCTGTATATGAATAATGTATCATCAGATGGTTCCTAATAATAGTTTGCACTATATTACAGAGATGATTCAATTGCATTGCAAACAGTTATACTCATTTCATTTATGTTTTTAGCAAATACATTTCTGGATTTGTGTAAAGAGCTGCTGGCAGACCAAGAGGTCAATTTTATACTGAGTGAGAGAAAGTGCTGCCAGAACCACCCAGAACAAGACTTCCAAAAACGGCAGATCCTGTGGAGCCAGTTATATGGAACAGTACAATTACACAACAAATGTGGGTTCCAGGTAACACAAAGAATCAATTTCTACCATATACATGGAAACTATAGAGGCAGGGTATATAAAGCAAGGAGATTGTGTTGGACAATACTCTATCACTGAAGACAAATAGACACATTGGAAATGTTTAAAAGCGAATTGATATTTCAGCTCAGTTGTGATGTGTTATAATAATTTTCCCCATATGCATGGAAACTGTTACAGTACTAGTAGAGGTAGCATATACAGTGAGATTGTGGTAGACAATTAGCCATCACTGAAGAGAACAAGACTTCATTGAAAATGTTTTAATGTGAATACATATATTTCAGTGCAGATATAATGTGTTATAAATGATCTCTGTTATTGTGAGGTCATTAAGTTGCATAATGGACATTTTATGGCATATTTATTATATACAGACACTCAGTCTGTCTATATTCTGATCACTGTGTCTGTCCAGCACTTTGTGCATCATCTTGTTAACCCTAGAACTGATAAACTGTATTTTTATTCAAATTTTCTGAATGACTTTGAATGTGTATAAGGCAGTGTCCTCCTGAAAATCGGTAAGATTGGATTGTTTTATGATGTTGTTTAATGATATCATAAATTGTACCTGTTTATTTTGTTGTCTTTAGCAGTTTGGAAATGCTGCTACAGTATGTACACAGGTTATCAGAATTAATGATATCATAAATTGTACCTGTTTATTTTGTTGTCTTTAGCAGTTTGGAAATGCTGCTACAGTATGTACACAGGTTATCAGAATTAAGTAGCAATGTAGATTTGTTTGTCTGATTCTGATATTGTTTTAATTGTTATTTTGTGAATTTATGAAATGGTTGT